AAGGGGTAGAAAGGGCGAACTCTAGACAGCAGAGCTGGCCGTGGTCCAGAATCCAGGACTGTCAGCCTGTCCTGTGAGGCTCCTGAACCAGACTTCCTGCCCCGTGTCTGAGAATGTGGGTGAGGGTGCCTTTCTCTCACGGAGCAGTGCCTGGAGAGTGGCTGCCTACTCAGTGTAGCCCACGGCTCCCTCATGTTCTTGGTGCTTCTGTTCCTTAGCTGCACCTCAGTCCAAAGCTGTTCCATGAAGTCGTGCAGGCATTCCGAGCAGCTGTGGCCACCACCCAAGGGGACCAGGAAGGTGCTGAGATCAACAAATTCCAGGTCACAGACAGCACAGGTAAACTGCAGAAAGGGGACCCGGGAATCAGGCTTTTGCTTTCTCTGTTCTGTGTGCAGCATCTAGGGTCCTTTTGTTACAGTGTTCAATGCTCTGGTCACTTTCTGTATCAGAGATCTCTTCAGCTGTCTCCAGAAGCTGCTGTTCAGAAAGGCACCGAAGGACAGCAACAGGTAAGAGGGAAGGGGGCAGGGTTGAGTGGACTGGGGTGGGATGGAGGATATGATCAGGCTGTGCACCAGGGAAGGCAGCTTTGTGGCCTAGACCAGGGCGTCCCCAACCCCTAGGCTGTGGACTGGTGCTACTCATGTTGCCTCCTCGGCTCCGCCTCCTGTCAGATCAACAGTGGTATCATATTCTCATGGGAGCATGACTCTTTTGTTGTGTGGTTGTTTCATTGTTCATTGTAACATGGTAGTGGTGGAAATGGGGTGCCCTGAGGATGTGGTGCCTTGGGTCATCCTGGGTCCAACCACACACACACACACACACACACACACACACACACACACATACACGCTCGGTCTATGGAAGGGTTGTCTTTCACAAGGTTGGTCCCTGGTGCCAGAAAGGTTGGGGACTGCAGGCCTATGTCTAGCTAAGGCAGAATGGGGACAGAGCCAGGCTCTTTGTGGGACCTGAGAAGACAGGGGCAAGAGAGACTGTTGGAAGAGGCCCTACCCTCTGTCACTTTCTTTGAAAATGGACATTTCCTTCCTAGGATTTCTCAGGTATATGGACTGTGCTCCAGGTTTTACCCTTGAATTTTCTCATTTCAGGGCTTTCTTCCCTTTCAGACATAAAAGTTCTGTTTGTGTTCTTTGACCATTATCCTGTGGCTGGCTCGTTTTCAGGAGGCATCTGTGTGTGTAGGCAGAGACTTCACTGGTGCTGGATCTGAGGCCCTCAGCTTCCGTATTAGAGGAGGACTGGGCAGAGGAGGAGAAGCGCTTAGTGTTTGGTAGTGTGTGATCACACTGGGGCCGGAGCGCCTAGACCATCAAACTTGCCCCATGGATTGGGCAGAGGAGGCTGGGGAGGGACTTCATAGAGAGAAGCATTTAGTAGGACATGTATCACGTTGAGGCTGGAGGATCTAGAGGTTGAATGTGCCCTGGACACTTTGCAAAGGAAGGGGGCCCTAGGAAGGGTACTGCCAGCAACACCTGGCAGGGTGTAGAGAGGCAGCAGAAGCCCTGGAGACGGGCACTTGTGGGTGGTAGCAGCCCAAGCTGGGCTGTCAGTGGGTCAGCAGGATGTGTCCTCTTGGAGGCAGCACTATCTGAAGGGTGGGGAAGCTGACACATTGCGAGGGTGAGGGACAAGCACTGGGATGAGTGGCAGCTAGTGCACACAGCCTGAGTGGGGCTGCAGGGGCCGAGGGAGGGCCTTCCTTCCAAGGTGGCCCCTGCACCAGAGGCAGCCAAGGCCTTGGCAACCGTGGTTGCCATGAAACGGCAGGTGGGTTTGGAGAGAAGCGCTGCTTCCTGGGTTGGGGTGAGCGGCTGCAGGTGTCTTAACTGTATTGTTCCAGGTGCAGAGAGGGTTGGCTGATGGGGAGGCTTTTGGGGGCTCCTGCTTTTTCCTCTTCATATGATTTGGCAGGTTTTCGTGCATACATGTCGTGTGGTGGGCTCTAAACAGTAGAAGTGTTCTGTTCTCTAAACAGAACACTGCCTTTAGGAGTGTGAGCCACCATTGCCAGGTGCCGATTTTCTAGAAGTTGAGGGTTTGGAGTTCTAGGGAAAACTATTTTTTAAAGCATTTATTTAATTTTATTATTATTATTATATTTTAATTTGACCAGAGAGAGAGGGAAAGTGAGAAAGCAGATCTGGGACTTGAACCGTGGTCTGCCATATGAGAGTCCAGCATCTTGATCACCATGCCACTTGCAGGTCCTGGCAAAAGCTAATTATATGAATTTGGGTGATCAGGGCTTATATGAGCCAAAGGAAACCAACCTGCAGTAGTTAGGGGTAGACTCCAGAGGCCTTGGGGCCTGTTGTGGTAAGGATGTATGTGGTGGGGGTAGGGCTAAGAAAACCCAGACGAGGTTTATGTCAGGAAGAGAGGTCGAGGCTGGGAGTCTCTCTGGGGGCTCTTGGGAAGGGGCTAGCCCTGGGCTCAGGGAAGAGTGAGTGGGGTGTCTGGGGAGGGTGGGACTGTGTTCAAGACTATGGAAGCCTGTGGGCAGGGCTGGTACTGCCCCTCTGGGTGTCTGGGTCATCCATGAGGTGGTACTGATAAGCCTCTCTCATCAACTTGTAAGAGGCCCCGAGCTTTTGGTGGGGAGGATGAGGGTGGCGAGGGGTCTCCCCCCAGGGTCATGCGCCCTTGTGTTTAAGCTGTAGAACCTCATGCGGATGGGGTGGGTGTGGTCTCTGCAGGGTGCTGCAGCCATCCAGCAGTCCGCTCTGGGGGAAGCTCCGCCTGGACGTCAAGACATACCTGACCTCGGTCGTGCAGGTGCTGTTCTGGTGAGGGAGGGGTGTTGAGTCCTGGCCCTGTAGCCTACCTGCTGGGCTTCTGTCTTTTCCTTCCTGAAGAAGGACCTGGGAATTTTGACTATGTTTGGTTGAGAGGATCAGGGCCTCACTGTCCCTTTCTGCTTCCCCAGCTGGTGACCTGTCTGGCTGAGGCCACGGTGTCGGCAGCTGTCCTCCAGCACATCAGCAGCTTGGTCCCCTACTTCCTGACCTTCCCCAAGCAGTGCCGCATGCTGCTCAAGGTGAGCATCTCTGTCCCCCCTCACCACCATCAGCATAATTGGGATGCACACTGCCACCCCACAATCACTTCCCAGCCAGCTTCTCTCTCCATGCCCTGCTGGGGTCTCCTGTTCCAGGTAGCTCCCACCGTCAGTGGCAGCATAGCTCAGTCCGTGTGGGAACAGGCTCCTCTGAGGCAGCTGCTCTTTGGCACGTTTGACAAGAACCACAGCAGGATGTACTTTTCTTGTGACCTACTGTGTGTTGACCTGCACGTGCATATGTGGCTGGCACATGGGGGTTGGGGAGTATTGTACTCTGTTTTGCATTTTAGTTTCTATTGCTCTAACTGCAGCTTCCCCCTGCAGTGTTTTGGGAAGGGCCCTTTCCCAGGGGTGACCACAGAAACCTCTGGACTGGCTCAGGCAGCGGTGGGCCAGTGCTGGAGCATCGTGAGTGAGAGGCTGGGGTAGGCGGTGACATTTTTCTCCCTCAGAGGATGGTGGTCCTGTGGAGCACTGGAGAAGAGTCTCTGCGGGTGCTGGCCTTCTTGGTCCTCATGAGAGTCTGTCGGCACAAGAAGGACACCTTCCTGAGCCCCATCCTCAAGGTAGCATGGTACTCCACATCCGTGTCTGTGAGGTCAGGCTGGGAGTCTAAGCCTGAGTGCTGAGTAGCCTGGCACTGGGGCTCTTGGAGCAGTTTCCTCATGATAGGGATGCCTGGACTCTGTTTTGCACAGCTCTCTGTGGGGGAAGGGCCTCTTGTCTTGGTGGATGAGGATGTTGGACATGGATGGAGTTAGGAACCTGTCTGAGGCCATAGCCAGGATCCAAACTCCCTGCCCAGCCGAAACCTGTAGTGGCAGGCCCTGTGCACAGAAACAGTTTGGAAAACTCCTGTAGGGCTCTGCATAAGGCAGTGGCTTCCCTCCCTCCCTCTCGGGCCCTTGGTTTTCTCCTTGCCTATTCTACAGTATACCCCTCCCTTGCCGTGGCTGTCCACATGAGACTCCTCCCCTTTGTGCACCTCAGACTGCCCGGAAACATGGAGGCCCAGGAGCTGGGAGCTATGTAGGGGAGAATCTGTGGCAGATATGCTGGGCTGTGGCTTCTCTTTGAGAGAAAGGCTGCAGCGTGGGCAGGTGGCCAAAGCCCAGTGGGGTGTGGGAGCTCTGAGGGCTCCAGTGGTCCTGACTGGGATCTCCTGACAGCAAATGTACATCACGTATGTGAGGAACTGCAAGTTCACCTCCCCCAGCGCCCTGCCACTCATCAACTTCATGCAGCGGACTCTGACCGAGCTGCTTGCCCTGGACCCTGCAGTCTCCTACCAGCACGCCTTCCTCTATATCCGCCAGCTCGCCATCCACTTGCGCAATGCCATGACCACTCATAAGAAGGTGTGGGCTGGGGTTGGTCCTTGCTGGTGGGGGCTGGGCACATAGTGCTCCATCTGGCTGGGGCCTGTTTGTGGTTGAAGAGATGCACCCTGCAGCAGTTGCTCTGTCAGGAAGGAGCTGGGCCCTCATGGGACCCCTGGGGTGACCCTGGAGGGAGAGTGTACCTTGGCCTGGCCAGAGGTAGACTTCATTCTCTCTGACAGGAGACATTCCAGTCTGTGTACAACTGGCAGTACGTGCACTGTCTCTACTTGTGGTGCCGGGTCCTGAGCACCATCTGCCCCAGCGAAGTCCTGCAGCCTTTGGTCTATCCCCTCTCCCAAGTTGTCATCGGTTGTATCAAGTGAGTTGGACTGGGTGGGCAGGGCTGTCCTGAGGGCGGAGGGGAGACCAGGACCAGCCTGGGGAGCAGGATGAATAGACCCCAGGACTGTGGGCATGCCTCTGATGTCTTGGGCCTCCAGGGTATGGGGCCTGTGTTGGCAGTCTTTTGAGAGAGGGCCAAGGGCTCCTATGTCCGCATGAGAAGACACTCTGGACTCCTGGATAGCTGGGCTTGGTGGTCACCTGGGGAACGAGCTCCTCCCAGGGCAGTGTAGCCACACACGACCCAGCTCTCATGTGTTGGGGGTTTGGGTGGGTTTGTGTGCAATGTGAAAGGAATTTGGGTTCATTGTTCATCAGCATGGAGTCCTTGGACGCTCTGAAGCAGTGAGCTGCATTTTTAGTGTGTTAAGGTCAGGATTGGGGCGAGGGGGACTAGTGCCACAGGAGAAAGTGGGGGCAGTGATGGTGGCTGGGTGACCTGTGTACCTCTGACCAAGAGAGATATTTCTGACCTCCCAGAGGAGATTCTGCCTGAGCCCTGGAAATGCAGGGTTGGGAAAGTAGGTGGGAGATCAAAGCAAAGAAGCCCTGAAAGCAAGGATCAAGAAAGGAAGGGAGTGGGACCAGCAGTTAGCGTAATGGCTATGTCGTTGGACTCCCATGTAGTCGACCTTAGTTCAAGTCCCGGACCCGGTGGCCTAAACTCATGCCGGGCACGTGTGCGTGCGTGCCCAAGATCCTAAGAGGAGAATGTAGAAGGGATTGTGGTGTGGCCATCCCCCTTGGGGGGGTGATTTCTCACTTTCTATCTCTCTGTCTCTCTCTATCTGGCAAGCGCACGCGCCCTATAGCAAAAAACTCTCAAAAAAAAAAAAAAAAAAAGGGAAGGGAGTTAGGAATGAGTGATTTCCCATACGTTAAAATGAAATCAAGCTACACCCCTTAGCCCCATTACAGCAAAGAAGCATGTCCTTAACACTGGGACTTAGTCAGGGTGCCCTGTTCTGTTTCGAGGAGACTGATGCCACCTTCCATGGTGGGTGTAGCCACTTGCTCAGACAAGTGACAAGGAGCATCCTCTTGTGAAGCTGGGGTCCCATGTGGGATGGGGCTCTGAGGCAGTGGGGTAGGGAAGGGGAGGCTGGTTAGGGGGATAGCTGCCAGAAGTGGCTTACTCCCACCTTCTCATCCCACAGGCTCATCCCCACTGCCCGCTTTTACCCGCTGCGCATGCACTGTGTGCGTGCCTTGACCCTGCTCTCAGAGAGCACAGGGACCTTCATCCCAGTGCTGCCCTTCATCCTTGAGGTGAGTGGGTGATGTGACCCGGGGTCCTTCTAGAGGATTGTTTGCTCCTCAACAAGCCTGTGCTATGAGGTGTTCTGTAACTCTTGCTCCATCTGGAGGATGTAGGTCTTGTGAGAACATTGCTCTTGGCACTGTCCAGGCTGGTGGCGGGGGTTGGTGGGTGTGTCCGGGGTGTGATGATGAGTTGTGGGCATGAGGATGTGGATTTACAGGTCAGAGAACAGAGTCTGTGTTTGCCCAAGATTGCAGAGAGCTGGGCCCAAAGCCCAGACATGTGATTCCAAAGCTTTGCTCTTGCCTCCGAGCACCCCTGCCTGGGCAGTTGTGTGCCTGTATGAAGAAGGCTAGAGTCTGAAGCCAGCTTCCCCACTCCCCGAGTGGCTTCAGCCTCACTGGAGGCCTGGAGTAGTATTACAGCTGGTGCTCAGGGCTGGGCTTGTTCCTGACCGGGATGGGAAGGGAAGGGAAGGAAGCCCCGGGCACGGCCCGATTCCCATCCACTGAAGCAGAGATACTGTGGTTTTGCCTCCTGTGAATGTCCTTTGGAAACCATATCCACTCAGCCAGCTGTGACCTCTGACTGCTCAGCCTGTGGCCCCTCTGTGTCCCAGCATTCCTGTTGTGGCCTCTTGCTCTTGGTGTATCTGTCCATCTCTGCTTACGGTTTCCCCATCTCATCTTCGCATTGTCTTTCTCTGCCTTTTTCTCTGGACAGTCCTTGAACAGTCTTAGCTTGTTGCAGCTGTGTCCTGCAGGTTTCCCTCACATGCAGGGTTCAAGCCTCTCTCCAGAGAGAGCCAACTACAGAGGCTGAAGCAGAACTTCTGCCTGCAGGGTGTCCCTGCCCTTCCACCTTCCCTACTCACCTTTAGGTCTAGGCTAGAGGAAGTGCATCACTTTTAAGTCCAGGCTAGAGGAAGTGCAGTACCCTCCCAGGGAATGACTTCATCACTAGTGTCTAGTGTCCGTAGGAGTATTTTGAACTGTCCAGCATTCTTCCTGCTGCAGGGGTCTCCTGTTGGCTAGAAGCCTGACCCACTTGGGCGTCCCACGGCCTGTTTTCCTCATCAGGTGTTATTGCTTGAATTTTGAATCTCCCTGGTTCTGACCCCTGTGTGAGGGGTCTTCTAGTGGTTAGGGAGTGGTCCCCAAGCTGAGTTTCCGCTCTGCTCCCCTGGTAGTCTACTGGACCTGCAGGAGGAGGTAGCCTGTGATTTCTGTAGGGGGTGTGGGAGGGGAAACTCTGTAGGCCTTCACCTGAGCCCTCTGTCCCTTCCTGTGCTCTGTTTCTCTCTGTTGCTGCTTTGTCCTTTCAACCACCCAGATGGAGCTGGTGAGCTGCAGCTGTGCTGAGAGTTGGTTGCAGCTGCAATAGCTCTAAATGAAAGACTTTTCTTTGTATTTAGACACTGGTTCTTATAACTTGCTAGTTTTAGGGGAGGGTCAATGCTCCTGGCCCTACCCATCTGACTAGCCCATTTACAGGACAAGGGAGCCAGAGCACTAGAAGGTGGACCAGATTGTAGAGGGGTCTGCAGGGCTGGCGCTGCATCAGCCACTTCCTCCTGGTCTCAGGATGGGTCTTCTTGTAGTGAAGTTAAGGACCAGGGAGCAGCAGGGCTGGGCTAATACGGCCCTTGGGACAGATCTTCCAGCAGGTTGACTTCAACAAGAGGCCAGGGCGCATGAGCTCCAAGCCCATCAACTTTTCCGTGATCCTGAAGCTGAGAGTTGGTTGCAGCTGCAATAGCTCTAAATGAAAGACTTTTCTTTGTATTTAGACACTGGTTCTTATAACTTGCTAGTTTTAGGGGAGGGTCAATGCTCCTGGCCCTACCCATCTGACTAGCCCATTTACAGGACAAGGGAGCCAGAGCACTAGAAGGTGGACCAGATTGTAGAGGGGTCTGCAGGGCTGGCGCTGCATCAGCCACTTCCTCCTGGTCTCAGGATGGGTCTTCTTGTAGTGAAGTTAAGGACCAGGGAGCAGCAGGGCTGGGCTAATACGGCCCTTGGGACAGATCTTCCAGCAGGTTGACTTCAACAAGAGGCCAGGGCGCATGAGCTCCAAGCCCATCAACTTTTCCGTGATCCTGAAGCTGTCCAATGTGAACCTGCAGGAGAAGGCATACCGGGTGAGGCAGACAGGAGTGGGCTTGCTGTCCTCTTGAGTCCCAGCACAGTGGGAAAACGGGTTCCCCAGTCCCAACCTCGGTGGTCCTGGGTGTGGCCTCCTGGAGGTCCTGGTTGTGGCCTCCTGGAGGTCCTGGGGTATTCCCTCTCAGCCCCTGCCTTGGAGGTGAGTGCTTGCCTCCCTTGCTGCCCCTGATGACTTGGTCCTCCCCTTGCTCCTCAGGATGGCCTCGTAGAGCAGTTGTATGACCTCACCCTGGAGTATCTGCACAGCCAGGCCCACAGCATTGCATTCCCTGAGCTGGCACTGCCCGGTGTCTTACAGGTGTGTACCACTGCCCAGGCCTCCCTGGGCTTGCCTTGTGGCTGACTTAGACTCTTTAACAGACTTGGCTGTCCATGTGCACAGGCCAGAGAGGCATCCTTGTCCTGGCCACATAGACCTAGTAGCAGAGCCTAACCAACTGGCAGCCAGACCCCTCTCCAGGCCACAGTTTTGGAGGGCATGGTTGAAGGAGTGTCCCCCGACTACATGCTTTCCTGGGTGTCCTGGGTATGAGAAGGTGGGCAGGCTCTCAGGTGGCAAGAAGCTCAGCTAACGCTTTTGCACACCCCAAGTCAACTTCACTTTAGGGGAGTTGGGCTGGGGTTGAGGGTACTCCTTCTTCTGGGAAGCTACTTCTGGGCCCCAGGGGGCTTGATCTCAGCCCAAGTGTTTCCCATCTCAGGCCAGCACCTGTTGTGGGAAGGCAGGGACTGCTGTCACTGTCTGTCTGTGTTGGGTGGGATGAGCACCGTCAATTGTAGGCCTGCTTGGGGCAGCAAGCGGGTAGGACATTCAAATACAGGGATGTGTATATGTGTGTGTACACATGCCTGGTGCTCAAGGAGTCACAGACACATAGCCACGCACATATACTCTGTCACATCTGGGCACGGTCAGCAGTTAAGGCATGTGGTGGTCACACTCTGGTCTTCCCTTGGCTGGCGATACCCAGGATCTCCTGGCTCAAGGTTTCAGGGATGGAGGTGTAGAGTAGGGGCTGGCAAATTTTTTTGGTAAAGAGCCAGATGGTACGTATGGTTAGGTTTGCAGGTTATGTGATATATCGCAGCTGTTCAGCTGCTCAGCTCTTGTCAAAGCACAAAAGCAGCCATGGAAACACTTGCGTGAGTGTGGCTGCATGCCAAGACTTTATTTACAGAGATAGGCAGCAGGCAGGATTGGCTGGGGAGGGTGGATTGATGCTGCCACTGCCCCCATACCCCCACGTGCACTGGGGCTCAAAACAAATGAGATCCACATCTCCTTTCTGCCCTCGTTCTCCCCTGAGGTTTCTATGTGTGGTTTTGCATGGGTGTAGGGCAGCTCTCTGCCTGGAGTGGGCTAAGCTCCCTGCCTTCTGCAGCTGAAATCCTTCCTCCGGGAGTGCAAGGTGGCCAACTACTGCCGGCAGGTGCGCCAGCTGCTCGAGAAGGTGCAGGAGAATATGGAGTACATCTGCAGCCGCCGCCAGAAGGTCTCCTTTGGCGTGTCTGATCGGCATGCAGTGGTCAGTTGGGAGTCGGCATCTGGGCCCTGGGAGGTGGTGTCACCTGAAGATCTGCACTGGGGCATGGCTGGGGCTTGGGGATTTGCCCTGGGTGGGGCATGATCCCAAACTCTCCCTACTCCTTAGGATGCATGGGAGAAGCAGACCCGGGAAGAGGGGACCCCACTTACCAGGTATTACAGCCACTGGCGGAAGCTGAGGGACCGAGAAATCCAGTTGGAGATCAGCGGCAAAGAGCGGGTAGGGCTCGGGGCCTAGGGGCTAGGTGTCTGAGTGTGACTGGCTGTGACTGTGACTAAGACCTGGGCAGGGGGAAGGGGCTGTTGGGAGAGATTGGACCTGCAGACAGCCCCAGGGTTAACGACAGCGGGGGGAGGGTGGGGGCTGTTTCTGGCCTGACCTAATGTGGCACTGTGGCTCCTGACAGGGCAGCAGTGACTGGGGAATTTAGCTCAGAGTGAGTGGGCATCACACAGGTTTATTTCATGGCCCCTAGGAGGGGGGCCCAGGAGGCCATTCCTCCTCCTCCAGCCTGATGGGCTTGGGTCTTTGGGGAATCAAAGTGGCTATACTGACCTTGCCCGGACCAGCCTGTATGGACCAGGAGGACAGACAAGGAGAGGTTAAAACAACTTTGCTTAGACCCTGGACTGGCCCGTGCACGTGGGAGACAGGGTAACTTGGGGGACTACAACCTTCTAGGTCAGTTCTGGTAGCAGAAAGACTTCTAAAAAAGTGACTAAGCAGGGTTCTCTGAGGGGGCTGGACTGGGCGGTGAGACTAAGAGGGGACATCAAAGGGGGAAGGAAGAAGGCAAGGTGTGCTGTGGTCTGGTGGCCACTGTCAGATCACGTACTACAGCGGCCAGGCTCAGCTGTGGGCCGGGCCCTGCAGTGGAGGATAAAGGATGGCACCCAAGGCTGAGGCTTGGGTGTGGGTCTGGCAGCCTGGATTCTGCAGCTGCCTGCCCATCCCCACCCGCTGCTCTGGTTCTGGGTCCTTCTAGCTGGAAGATCTGGACTTCCCAGAGATCAAACGGCGCAAGGTGGAAGACAGGAAGGACGAGGACAGGATGGAATTCAAGGATCTCTTTGACTTGGACAGTGCTGAGGAAGATGCCACCGACTTCCTAGAGAGAGGTGGGCCTGTGGTGCTCCCAGCATGTGCTCTAGGGGGGAGGGGACAGGCGTAAAAGGCTCTCGAGGATGCTCTGCCCCTGCGACTGGTCTGTCTGATCCAGGGCAAACCTTTGGGCCTCTGTCACCAGCCGTTTTTTCCTCTTTGAGGTGGGGGCTTTCTTGGGATTGGTGCCATGGGCAGTTCTGATCTCCCACGTAGGGGGGAGGGTAAGGGTGAGTGGTCCTGCCAAGTGGCCCTGAAGGGTATCCAACCAGGGCAGTGTACTACCCCCACTGTGCCTTTGCTGGTGGTCCCTTGGGGTAGGAGTTACAGAGACTCCTCTTTGGTTCCCAGGAGAGAGGGATTCCTGGCTCCCTGAGAGCTCGGCAGGAAGTGGAGAACGAGGAGGAGGAAGACAACGGAGATGAGGATGACAGCCTTAAATCAGTAGGTGGGTGCCTGGTTCCCAGGAATGAGGGGGCTGCGACACTTGAGCCTATTTGCCCAGGAACTGTCTTGGATGTGAGTATGTAGACAGGACCCTGAGAGGGCGGCTCTAAGCTAGACCCATGCCCCTCCTTGGGGATACCAGGCCAGCTGCTCCGTTCTCACCAGCTCTGGCAGCCGGCAACAGCCGCCCGGATAAATTAATTAGTGCCGTGATTAATTAGTGATGAGTAACCTCCAAGGCTGGCTTCTTCCTGATAAAGCAGAATTTATGTAGCCTTAGTTTCTCCCTGCAGATGGAGACGCAGACAAAGAGGCGGGGCTGGACCCCGGGGAGCTGTGGCAGCTGGCCCAGGGGCCAGAGGACGAGCTGGAGGATCTGCAGCTTTCAGAGGAAGACTGAAGTTGGCCCTGCCTGAGGGCCTGCAGGGGCTGGTAGGCCTAGAGGCCCTGAGGTCACAGGGCAATGGATGGAGGACAGGCCTTTATTTTTATGGCATAACAGACCAAACGTACCAGGAGCTGTGCCAGTCCTGGAGCTGTAGGCTTCTGGGGTGGGAACCAGCACCGTGGAGCCTGCCCACTGCCTCCGCCTCCACCCCCGCCCCCGCCCTTTTGAGGCTGACCCTGATGTCTGGATGTACAGAGACCAGCCCAGTTCCAGAGGGAGGTGTGAGAGGGGCCCCCCTTGACTTCTCTACCTCCTTCGTCTTTGGTTTGTCTACAAAGCCTGGGCCCCAGGGCCTAGCACCAGGCTCTGCAGTCACCCCCAGAAAGTCTTTGGAAATGCGTTCCTTTCTTCTGAAGTCATATGTTTTTCTTTTAAAAATTCTTTGTGTTTTTGTGTCCCAAACCAAAAGGAAAAATAAGCTGTGGGGGAGGGGCTGTCGCAGGGGAGGAGTTTGGCTCCTGCCAGTTCAGCACAGAGACTGGGAGGGGTCTGGGGCGCCTGGGAGCAGAGCCATGGTCCCGTTCTCCTGCTTGGGTGAGGCTCGGCCCCCCCCATAGCGGGGGGTGGCTGTTGCTGGGGACAAGGGCGGCTCTCCTGTGGTGAGCTCCCGCTCCGGAGGAGGCCGCAGGCTTGGTGGTGGCAGCAGTGGCAGAGCCACAGGGAAGCTGGCCATGTAGAAGACTCGGCCCAGCCGCTTGGCCACCTGCAGAGAGACAGGCCTGGGTGGAAGGCTGTGTAAGCAGCTGGCCTGTAGCCAAGAGGCTTTGTGACCACCCCCCAACAGTGTCTGGAGCCCCTGTGCCACTCCCCAGCCTGCTCACCTGGGCCCGAATCTTGAGGGCAGGCCCCAACTTTAGCCCCATGGTGGTCAGCAGGTGCTCCTCCGTCAACAGTGGCAAAGTCTCACCATCTATCCCTTGTTCTCTGAAGACCTGGGTGGGGGCAGAGGTGGGGGTGGGTCAGGGCCTGGGCACCGGGTAACCTGCTTGCCCTGCTGGATCCTTCTAGCCCAGCAGGGGCCCAGAGCAGAGCCAAGAAGTGGTGTTTGTGCAGCTTGCAAGAAAATTTCAAATGAATAACCACCTTTGTGTTGGGCATGTGCCAGAGTAGAGGCAGCACAGACAGGGGATGGGGACAAGGGGGTGGGGAAAACAGACCAGTGTCCCCCTCCCACAGCACTTTTGGGGAGGTAAGTTTGGGGCTCAGCCTTGCCCCAGGAGCCCCCCTCACCCTGGCGTACTCTCCACAGCCAGACAGGCCCCCCACGAAGCTGCAGACATCGTCCACGGTCCACTTGCTGACATCTTCAGGGGCTGTGGCCTCCTCCCCATCCGTGAAGAGTCCCCCCACTGCGCCTGAGTTGGGGGTGGGCCAGCGTTATTAGGGTTTACTGGCTCTTTCCTATATTCCCACCCAGGTCTGCTGACCTTTGCTTGCTCTGATTGCTTAGAAATGTGTTGGAGACAAAAGGGTTTGGTTTTTTTCTCCCCCCAGGGGTTCCACGCCTGCACCCCTCCCTCGCTAACAGGGTGGCTGCATTGGGTCCCTTGATGCCCCATACAGCCTGGGAAAGGGGGTGCCCACCTGTGTGGAAGTAGGGACTAACAGCATAGGGGAAGCCCAAGGGCAGTGGAGGGGGCAGTGTGGGTGCGGAAAGAAGCCCCTTCCCCTCAGCACTGGCTCCTCCAGCTGGGGCTTGGCCTGGAGTGGGGCCCTGGCCCCCTGTAGCTGTCATCTCCGGGTCCTCTCCATCTGAGTCTTTTGGAGGCTCTTCCTCAGAGCCATCTGGTGTCCAGAGTCCAGCTCCTGTCGTGTCCTTGGATTCATTAGGCCGGGATGAGGCAGAGCCAGGCGCCCCCTTCTTGGGGGCTCTGCGGGCAGACTCCCGGGGTGGGGTGGGCGGCCCGGGGCCCGGGGCGCCCTGCGGGGGCAGGGCTAGCAAGGGCGCAGAGCTGTGTTTCAACACTAGCATGGCCCCGCGCCGATGCAGTTCCTCGGCGCCCTCATGGGGGCGCGGGGCGGCCTCGGGCGCTAGCAGCTGCGGACGGTGCGAGTTCTCCAGTTCCTTGTGTCGCAGCAGCTCAGCTGACATCTCCAGGCTGGCCAGGGAGGGCAGACAGCAGAGCGTCAGCCCTCAGCCCGGTCCACTGGGTGCCCGGTCCCATCTCCTAGCCTCAGCAGCACTTACCGGGCCAGGTTCTGCTTACGCAGGAGCTCCTGCTGTCGGGCGAACATCTCTGCCTGGGCTGGGGGTAGGAAGCCGTATCCTGGTGGTAGGGGGACAGGCCGCAAGGCCATCCAATCTCACTCCCCGCCACCCTGGCCTGTCCTTTGGCTCCAACACGGTCAGGGGTGGGTCCCACAGGAGCACTCGTGGACGCAGGGTCATAGGCAAACCCAGATAGCCCCACAGGAATGACCGATGGCACGCGCACCGATAGCCCCCCCAGGACACAAAGGGCTCACACATCGTCTATTTCTCACCTGGTGTCTGGCACAGAGCCGAGGGCACCCCCAAAAAGGGGGGCCTGAGATGGGGACCCAGGGCGATGTGAGGGGCATTCTGGGGCGACAGCAAGGGAGGCGGCTGCGACAGCTCCCTGTGGACCGCGGGATAGAGAGCGGTGTGCACTGCAGGACCCTGCTCCCTTCCTAATTCCTCACCCCGTTCCCGTAACTATCCCGGGGCGCCCTCCCTCCAGCCACCTCCGCTAATTGCTGGCCCCGCGGGCGGTCGATGCGCCGCTCGTTACGGCTCCGGGTCGCACGCCGCCCCCGCCCCCGCTGGCGGCGCCAATTAATCTCCGCGGCGGCGCGGAGGCGCTGACCCGGCAGGCGGCGGCGACTGCAGCGGTAATTACCGCGCAGGGCGCGCCAGCCCCCCATCTCCTCCCTCCCGCCGCTGTCTCTTCCCCCAGCGATGCGGACTCTGCGGCCGGGGGGCGGGCGTAATTAGCCGCAATCCGGGAGGCAGCTGAAGAGTGAACGCTCTGCAGCCCTGCGTGGGGGCTGCGGGCGGCGGCAGCCCTCGCGGTGGGTGGGGGAACAGAGGCTCCGCCACCGCCCTCCCTTGGTCAACTCGGCCCTGACTAGCGCAGGAGGCCTCGCCTGTGCCGCAAAGGGCTCCAGTAACTGAATTGGAGGTGACCAAATCGGTGGCTCTGCCCAGGTCCCCTTCTTCACCCCCCAGCTCTGCGGTCCTCTAGCCGACCCCCTTTTCCAACTTACTTCAGGATTTCCACACCTATCCTCTCTCCCACCTTCTCCTACCTGTGAGGGGAGCAAAGCCCACAGCCATCCTGGGGGCATCTTGACTGAGCATGTTCCCCAAATGCTCAACTGGAAAACCGAGGTTACCTTTAACTTTCCTGCCCAGGTTGGTGGGCACCCTCCCACACACACATTCTGCACTAGAAATGGTCCCTCGGGCCTCTGGCCAGCAGAACCTTAGCTTAGAGCTGAACACAGTGCTTGGCACACCTGGGGCGTGGAATGTCCACATGGCTGTGCGCCGCCCTGATGGAAGAGTGCAGTGCGCATTACAACCCCTGGGATGTGATGTGGTGGAGTGGCTGAGAAAGGACGGAGGGAAAGCTGTGGGCATAGCCCGCACAAGTCAGGCAACAGACCTGCCAACTCAGGAGCATGTAGAGACTGGGGGGGGGTGGGGCTCTCCAGAATGCGGGACCCCAGTACCTCTCTGAGAAGGATGGGGCAGAAGTTAGGGCGGCGCCTTCCCGATGCTGAGCCAGGCCCTGCTTCCGACGTTGACCTGCTGTGGATGAGGGCAGGTGGACTTCCAGGCCACTGGGGCTTCTCAAAGCTGCAGCTGCCACCTCCTGCCGGACCCTCAGGAGATCTGGGGTGGAGGGGTGGGGGCAACAGCAGTGACTCAGAGGCTGGGCTCCCCCTGGACTTTCCCTCCATCCTGGCACACAGAGGACATTGGCCCCAGGGACACCAAGGAAAACAAGCTCCAGAACACTGGGACGGGTGGTCACTGGGGCAGAAAGATGAACCCTAGGGCAGTGGAGACAATGTGCAACAAGAGCCACAAGAAGCTGGGGGGAGGGACAGGTGAGCACCGGAGAGGAATATGTGGACTTCGGTAACCCAAGTGAGGTGGGAGGGAAGGAGATTCCCAAGCTGGGAGCTAGATGGGCTTGGGAGGAGGGGGTGGTCCAGTAGTGAGGGCGTAGGTCAGTTCCTGGAGGGCAACAAGAGGAGAATCCAAGGGTTGAAGTGGGCTTCAAACACAGGGCTGAAACTACCCAGGAGACACCTTCTTAGGTAAGAGGCAAGGAAATTTGAGATCCAGACACCCAGATACGAACGGCAAAACTTGTCACACCAATAGCAATGCAAGCACAAGTCCACACAAGCCGATGGACATGCAGTGGAGGTTGCACTGAGTCACTTGGGGCCGATACACACTTGTGTTCACGGGCACACACGTTGCACACGCTCACACAACAGTGTCTCATGCATTCTGCTCCCCAGCCCGGTTCTCTCCATCCTGCTTAGGGCTGGGCCTCCCGAGTCTCCCGCAGCAGACACTTGTATAGGCTCCCCCGCCCCCGGCGGCC